CCCCCAGGTCTAGTAGTTCACCTGGCTACCCGCCCCGCCCCCAAGGTGCGCAGATACAGCAGACTCAGGTGGGCTTCCAAAGCGTTTATTGTGACCGGGGGGCGGCGGCGGCTCCTGCGCTCCTACGTGTACCACATGAAGCCATAGCTGGCGTTGACCGACTCTTCGCTGGTGCGCAGATGGAAGAGGTCGCACACCATGGGGGGCACCCAGCGCGTTGTGTGGAACACCGACTCGCCCACCTGCTTGGGCACAGGGGTGTGGGGAGATGTGCTGGGGCCCAGGCCCTCTTTTCACCCACTCTGCCCTCAGCCCCTCACAGCCCAGCTGATTCTGACCCAGCATGGTTGGCAGACGCTGGAGCCCGGCCCTCCCCAGACCCACCTTCCAGTCGGGCACGTCCTTCATGATGACCGCCTCCTCCTCCAAGTTCTCCCGCAGCATATCATAACGTGAATGGTGGGGGGGGGGAGGGCAGAGTTGAGGCCAAGCAGCCTACACCCCAGATCTCACTCCAGCCATGGCCCTCCGGTCTCGGCCCAAGGCTTTTGTACAGGTTGTTGCCTCTGCCATGGTGTCCTCTCTCTGGAGCACCACAGATAACTACTGGCCTCCCTGCCCCACCCCCAACCACCCCTCCTCCAGGAAGCCTTCCCGACAATCTCCAGCAGCCCTCAGGCAACCTAAGGGCCTAGCGGCCCTCCCCTGACACCACCTGCAAGTCCTACCTGCGGTCCTTCTCAGCCTGGAACAGCGGCATCAGGGCGATCCGGGACTCCAGGTCCTCGATCTGCAGGCGCCTATGGAAGCCAGACACCATCAACCCTAGCTGGTCAGGGCTCAGCCACTGACGCCCTCTTCCCAGGGCAAGGCAGGGGCACCCACAGGCTGTGTGGGTAGGGTGAGTGGGGGGAGAGGAGGCAGTGGTTTGTCTGTTCATGAGACTCCGGCTTCCTGTTGTCTTTTCAATTAAGCACTTTTTTTTTACATTCTAAAATTAGCTCAGCCTGGAGATTCTAAGGCATGGAGAGAGAAGGTCCTCGGGTGCCTGCCTTTACCAGACCCCACCCTACGCAAAATAACCAGTGTAAGAGCTCGACTGGCCCCCTCTCCCTCCTCCTGGGGTTTCCCACATCGCTTCTAGTAAGCTCATCCATGCCCGGGTAGAGGGGGTACCCCAGCTGTGAGCCAGGAATGAGGTGAGCAGGGGTCAGGAGACACTGGCACACCTGAGGGTGGATGTGTCTGCCAGACTTTAGCATCCCAGAGGCTCTACCACCCCATGCCCACCTGGCCGTAGTAGTGTACTGTGTGGTCACTGCTGGCCCTGTGTCCACTCCTGTGGTGGCTGCCCCACACAGCTGAGGGCTCACACCTACTGTCCTGCTCCCCCCCAGCAGCTGTGTCACCCTCTGTGCTGCTGGGGCAGGATAAGGGAGTGGACACCGGCTCCTGCCCCAGGCGCGGGTGCAGTCCCGCAGTCTTTACCCTGCCGACTTTGGACTTCCACTGTTCCCTCTCCTCCCACCACAGGCCCAGGCAACCGACCTGCTCTGCAGGGAGACAGACTGCTGCCTCCGAGCCAGCCTCCAGGCCCTCCATCCCACCCACCCTCCCCCTCAGCCCTGAGACGGGCAGTGAGAGGCCGGCCTGCCGTCTACCTGCGCTCCCGGTTCCACTTCATCATGCTCCAGTACCCGAAGAGCAGGGTCCCGATGCCCACGGCAAACATGCTGTAGCCTGCAAGGGAGGGGCGGCAGCTCTACCGGGGGCCTTATCTGGGGCCCCCACCATCACACTCCTCACACCCACCGTGTGCATCTGCCTCGTGTGCACCTCAGTCCCGGGCCAGTGCATGGCGATGTGTGGGCCAGGGACCCCCGTTGCCAAATCCCTGACTTGAGTGAGCCCAGGCTTCTGGTGGTGACTGGGGTAGGGGGAAGGGTGGAGCTGGGGTTGTTGATGCTTACAGTTGAAGTCCCGGCTTGAAGGTCGCCTGCCCCTGGCCAGCAGACCAGCCCCCATGGGAGAGGTGTTCTGATGGTGCCCTTGACCACCCCGGCTCCGGGCAGCCCCAGCTCTCTGGACTCCTGCTGTGCTCTGCCCACAGGGGGCTGCCTAAGACCTCCAGAGGCAGCCGGTGCCCTGCAGGGGCCACCCCAACCCAGTGGAGTCTGGGGCAGCTAGGCTGAGCGCCCCACCCGGAACCCTGGGGGAATAGAGGTGGCCATGCATATTGATGAGCACACCAACAGGCGCTAATCCTGACAGACAACCCAGCAGACCTGATTAGCTGGGAGTGGGGGAGCTGCCTCAGGCTCATGGTGAGTGTAAGAGAAGACTCATCCTCCACCGGATGTAGACCACCAGGACCTTCTGAGGCATGTCTGGGTGGAAGCCAATTGCCAGCCTCTTGGTTAGCAACTGAGCAAGTAAACTACCACACCACCCCAGGACGCCACCCAAACTGATCCTGGCTCCTGGCGCCCCCACGTGCCAGCCTGGGACTGTTCCTGATGGCCCCTTGCTGAGGTGCCTCAAGGGGGCTCACACACCCAACCTTCGGTTAGCAGCCAGGTGGATTAGCCATAGCCCTACCCAGGGGCTCTGGACTTCAGTATCCACCGAGGAAATACCTAGCAAACAGGATGGGCAGCTATGCCAGGGCCATGGGGCTCAGGGAACCAGAACGGGTTGCCCCACCATTATAGCAGGGCTGCGAGTCCTGGCCCACCTGTCTTGGCTGCGTGGGGCTTGGAGGGCTGTCAGGTGTAGACTCTCACATTCACTTGCTGCAGGCTGGAGCTCAGGTAAGACAGCACCCCCTCATGGGGGGCAGAGACATGGGGTGGCATGTCCTGTGCTCAAAGGCTGGCTCTCACTTCCTAGAACCTTCCCCAAGAGCCCCCACCTCCATGTGTCCAGAGTTGTCCCTGCCCCTCGCCCCCTGGGGCCTGCACATCCTGGAGAAGATACCTCTCCTCTAGTTCAAGCTGCTTCTCAGGGGTGTGTGTGTGTGGGTGTGTGTGGGGGTGGGTGTTGTCACGCTTTTAACCAACCCCGTGGGCAGACAGCCTGGCACAGCCTGGCAGAGACCTTCACACTCGGCATCCCCGTGAGCCCATTTCTAAGGTCAAGTCCAAGAAGACAGCCTTCAAGGAGCTGCAGCAGGCCCCTGCATATCTACATGCAGTCTGGGACGGCTTCACCTCTTCACCAGTGGAAGCCACGGGGTCCACAAGGGGCGCCTCAGTCTGCTGGGGGAGGTTGGTGAGGGGCACCCCCAGCACGGCACGCAGCTGTCTCTCAAAGACTTAAATCAACAGAAAGCCACCTCTGCAGGGGTGCAAGGGGTGAAGGATGCACCGGTGGGGTTGAGATGGCAGCACTCCTGAATGGAAGGTGGGGCAAAGCTCAGCTTTGCTGATGGCGGAAAGTGAAAGCTTTACACAGCACCCCAAGCCCCCCACCCCAATTCCGACTCATCATGGCCCTACTGGACAGAGCGGACTGCCTCAGAGGTTTCCAGGGCTGTCGCTCTTTATGGAGACAGCTGGCCGCATTCCCCAGGGGAGCAGCAGGGAGCTGGAAGGGCAAGGGACTGGGAATTGCCAGCGTGATCTTGAAAAATAACCAAGTCGGAGGACTCTCCCTCCCCGGTTTCAAAAGTTCTCGCACAGCTGCGGCCCCGCAGTTAGAACGGAACCAATGGGACCGAATGGAGCGTCCAGAAATACACCCTACATTTATGGGCAATTGATTCTGGACAAGGGTGCCAAGTCCATTCAGTGGGTAGAGGATTTAACGGGAGGAAACCAACGGGGCAACCGGATCTCCACGTGCCAGAGAGGCCGGCCCTCCCTTCTGCCATGCCCCCAGATGAACTTCAAGAGGACCCCAGACCTGCACGTTCAAGAGCTCCAGACTCACAGCCAGCAGGCTGGTGCCGACTCACAACAGCCCTGCCGGACAGGGCAGAGATGCCCTCTGAGTTTCTGAGACTGTAACTGTGGGAGTAGAAAGCCAGCCTTTCTCCCTTGGTGGTTTCGAACTGCCAACCTTGCAGCTCGGAGCCCAATACAAACCACCATCCCACGAGGGCTCCTCGTGTTAACAAGCTAAACCTCTAAAATGCTTAGACAGAACGCCGAGGCTCCCTGCGTGCCTCTGGATGTGACAATGGCTTTTATGACAAGATATCTGAAAATCACAGATCTGCCTAGGCAGGCGGGCGGCTATCCCAGTGGCGTGGCAAGGATGAAGACTGCCTAGCATCAGCAGTCATCAGAGAAGCGCACGTGCATCTGAACTGCGGGGGGACTCCAGCCCCACACCAGGAGATGATACGCAGAAGAGAAAGCCAGATAAGAACAGGGGCCGCTGAGGAGGGAGCGCCCCGTCCACGGCTGGTGGGCAGGTCAGACGGAATAGCTGTTTTGGAAACAGCTGGCAAAACCTCAAACATGCTAGGCGTGGTGGAATTACCGTAGAATCCAGTCGTTCCATGCCTAGAGAGGTCCCCTTGCAAAGGGCAACTGTAGACCCTTGGAGAAACACGCCCATCGCTGAGGAGCACAAACCAAATGTGTCCATCCAACGGGGCCACACACTGTCCCGTCCACTGACACCAGACGTCCAGGACAGGCAATCCACAGAGCTAGCAAGTGGATCGGTGGTCACCAGGGGCCACGGGCTGGGGCTTGACTGCTGATGGGCCAGGGAGTCTTCCTGAGGGGAGGACCACGTTCTGAGATTGTGGTGCTGGCTGTGGGTATCTATCTCAGTGTACTCAAAGCCACTGAACCGTGTAAGTGGGAGAAATGCTTGGCACGTGACTTGGATCCAATAAAGATGTGAAAGGCACAAGCAAGCAGGGGTCTTGGCCCCGATGGAGGCCGGAGTGGGTGAGGGCGCGGGCCGAGGAGTGGAAATGGGGGGACATCCCTGAAGCCTCGTGGAGGAGCGGCCGAGAGGCAGCTGAGCAGCCTTCCAGGTTCTGGTTGCAGATGGGGTATGATTGTCAGGCTCAGGGAAGCAGGCCTAGGATAGGATCAGAGTGGGCAGTTGATGGAAGGACGGTGGGCCTTGGGGATGGAGAGACTTGCTGTGAACCCCTGGGGGAAGTGTCCTCAGAGAGGTGGTCTTGGGCCACTCTCAGGTCCCTTCCCCTCACAACTGCACATACTTACGACCTGACCCGTCCCCTCAGGGCAGGGCCTGGCTCAAAACAGGGCTCCGAAAGTGAGGGGGTCCTGGGCCAGTGAACCAAAACTACCCTGCTAGAAGGGCTCTTCCTCACCGCTCACAGCCTGGGGAGATGGGGGCTCTGTGGATGCTTCTGGGGACTATAGGGGAATTCTGACATCACGAACCCACAGAGGTCCTTGATGCAAAGCACATGTGTGACTTACAATGGGGAGCTGTGGAGTGGGAGGGAACAGGGAGCCCAGACACTCCAACACACACCTGAGTGGTGCAATGGTGAGCCGCTAAGAGGAAGGTTGTTGATATGAATCTGGCCAGTGGCTCTGTGGGAGCAAGGCCTGGTGAGCTGGCCCGCAAAGAGGACAGCTCGGGTTCCCTTCTGTCTCCCAGGGTCACCAAGCGGCCAACTGGCCAAACACCTAACATGAGCAACAGGTCACGGACCACCAATTGGTTCAAGGGCTGGGATCCTGGGCACACTAGCCCAGCCTAGTGTCTGTATCCTAAGTTTCTACATTTATAAGAGGCTATGGAAAAGTTAGCAGGGACAAAGACCCCTGGACATTTATCATCCAGTCCAGGGGTCCTCAAACTTTGTAAACAGGGGGCCAGTTCACTGTCCCTCTGACCCATTGGAGGGCCGGGCTATAGTTTAAAAAAAAAAAACTATGAACAAATTCCTATGCACACTGCACATATCTTATTTTGAAGTAAAAAACAAATGGGGCAAAAACACCCGGTGGGCCGGATGGTGGGCGGCACGTGGCCCAAGGGCCTTAGTTTGAGGACCCCTGATAAGTCTTTCCGAGAGTTTGCCCAGCCCTGACCCAGGATGGACGGACGGACGGACGGACACCCCTCCCCACCCCCATCCAAGAAGGACGATGGTTGGGAGAAGACTCCATTTTCCTACATCTATTTATATATGCATACATTTTCCTTTTAACAAGCCCACCAATTCCTCTTCCGTTGTTTAAATTGAAACCTAGTTTGCATATAAGGACATGCAGAGGTTTTGAAGGTCAACTTTGATGAGGTGGGCAACTGGACTCACCCTTAATTAGGTTTCAAGTATTGTATTTCTCTGCTGATCCTAGACGCTGAGCTTGGCTGCTTTTTACGTTCCCTATAAAGGACTGTACAGTTTTCTGAGTTGAACTAGATGCAAAACGTTATTTACAACATCTACACCTTCAAGGAGGCAGACTCCTGGCAGGGGTGTGTGTGGCGGTTTCTCTCGGGCCAGTTTCCCCTTTTGGGTAAGCAAGCCGCGGTCCACTTCAAAAGCCAGCGCCTTGGCGTCTACTCACGGTGACCCCAAGCGTTGCCCGGACTGCCATCTCTGCGAGCGCAGAGTCTCTCGATTTTCTCCCTGGGAGCGACTGGCGGTTTTACGCTTCCCACCGCGCAGTCAGTGGGGAGCCCACCAGGGCTCCTCGGCCTCAGTTTACCCCTCCCCTGGTCACACTGACTCATTCCCTGCCCCTGGATCAATCCGGGCTCACGGCGGAGAGCCGCCCGTGGGTTCCTTTCCGAGCCCGCCATTCCCGAGGTTACAGAGAAGACAGAAGCAATTCGCAGGCGACTGGGGACGTGTCCGGTGGCGCAGCGGGTGAGCGCTGGGCTGCCAAGGGGCAGATGCGCGCTTCGCGCCCCGTACCCAGCCCAC